TTTATTGCTCTTTCAACTTTGATACTGCGTTGTAATCTCCGCTTTTATAAAGGGTTTTATTGGCGTTCAGATTTACAGTATAACAAATTTAGGCCATCTTTATAGATTTTCTTTTACTTTCAAAATTTAAATTTTTTTAACTTTTTTGTTTTAAAATGACTATTATTTATATCACAATGACTTGCACTGTGCAATCTCTTATATTAACACTTTATTTTGCCGTATATTACATCATTCTAATATTATCCTAGCTCCCTTCTGATTTCTAGTTCTTTCCAGGTCCATTAAGGCTACAATTAATCAGTCAATTGAGGAAACGTAAAGTTTGTGATCTCTCTATAACAAACAAAGCCAATTGTTTCTCTTTTTATCGTGTGCCAATTCACGTGAAACCACCATATAGTATTGAGTTATTTTAAGCCGGTTATCAAACAACTCCTGAGGCATTTGAAACTATATAAACCGCTTATTAGTATACCTATCGAGAACACTTATTGAGCTTATATCAGCGCTTATTGAGGTACAAGATCAACTTTTCGCAAGGTGGTGCAATTCCGAACTTGTTTTTGTTTTTCCAAACTTTCGGAAAAATGATTATACGTGGGGTACTGTAACTTCTTTTGTTATCGCAAAGATATGAATCGTACGTGTAACTGTTCAAGGCAACAACATCACGCGATAATTAAATTTGTAAATGCCGTAGGGCGAATTGACAAAGCGTTCTCGTAGAAGATACGATGAGTAATTACCGTGACCTTCAACTTGTAGTATCTTGCCAGCTTATTTTACAGTCTTGCAATATTTTATAGTTACTTTACAGTTGAAAACAACGTGCTTAATTAAATTTATCTTCTTGTATATACTCAATGAAAGTATTACGCTACCTTTTGTAGTTATTTTTTCACCTTTACTATATAAAGTTTGATTTTATAATCCTATTGCCTTTATCAACAATCTTAGTCGATACAAAAGCCAAAGTCATATCATATCTAGTGCGTCATCTGACCATTGATTGATCGTAAGTTCGCTAGCCCTTGCACTTACGAGAATTGTCTTGATAATTCGCTTGAACCCAAACTCTGATATAAAGGGTTTCACATAGTAAATACATCATCTTTGAGAAGTCACGTGGTGACCTTTTCCCTATATCTTTTCCAGTACTTGTTGGGGATAACCTTTGATCCGTTTAGGGATTGAAAAGTCTGCTTGTCAGCAATTCTATCGCCAATATTATCTATCTGACCATAAAAGGTACTCCTTTTAATTAAACACCAACTTCGATCGGCCTAAAATAACATTGTTTTATAACCGTTTTATTGCTCTGCTGACTGACAGTAAGTGTTTGCTTTGATGGTATATTTATCTTTCACTATCGCTTTGCTATATCACTCTTAGTATATTGTCAGCATATTATCTAAAATAACATTAAAATACCTCTTTAAAGGATTATCACTTTACAATGGAAAAACAAAACTGTGTAAGGTGCGCCCAGCACATTTTGGGTATATATCTAGTGTTTTTGCAAAAAACGTTGTAAACAAAAGGTACAAGGAACTGATAACGTTAAGATTAGTATGCAAAACAGCATTAAACTAAAACAGTAAGTTGCTTGTCTTTTCCACGTTTTAACAATTTTTTACTTAACTAATGTGTTTTTAAATACTCTAACTTTTACTATGCTAATATAGTTCTTGACATTTTACCCTTATCACATCTGTCAATACTGTAGTAAAATGTCACGTATAATTTGTGACGCCTTTTTCGAGAAGATCCGTCTACCTCCTGTTATTCAAACTCTGAACCGAAAACAGCCTGAGGGTTGCACAACAACAGAACAACTGTTTAAATTTGATTTTTCCTCACGCAAAATTTAGAAACAAAAATAGTACGTGCTCGCCGGAGGGCGAAAGCAAAGGAACAGTGTAAGGCGGCGAAAACAAGCCTCTTTCTGGAAGTTGTGGATATTCTCATACCGAAAGCACGTTTTTCACGTTATTTCGGGAAGGGTCGAGCAAACACTGGGATTAGCTGGACCAAGTTGTTGTTTACTCCGTTCGCCGTATTTGGCGTTCGTTTTTACAATTTTTCTTATTTTAATCTTGTCACTTTTACTGTGTAACTTCTTGTAACAGTACGTATTTGTTTAGTATCTTACAGCACTTTAACTTGTATCAGAGAACCTTAACCTGTACTCAATATGAACACCGGCATCGCGAGATCAATGCCATCGTTCACGTTGTTATTGACAATATTTACGAACCCCGTTCGCAAAAATTAGATCATTAAGAAGGAAGCAACCTTCCAGAAAGAGGTCACACAGCCTCAGGGTTTCCAGAACAGAGATTAAGAGAGTAGCTAAGTGATCGGGTTTTCGGCCCAAACTTTCGAAAACGTCTCTACGTGTTCTGTTATTAGCGCGCGTTTTGACTGCTAGCCAAGGATTTATTTGAATCACATTTTTTCGAAGCCCTCAAGGGTTTGAAATGTTTTTGTTATTTCAAAAACTCGGCCAAGGTTTCGCGTTTCTAAATATTGCACAATAGATATCAAAACTTGATTTCTGAGGTTTCGACAGGTCGTGAGTAATGTTTTTTTTTCACAATAGTTACAGTTATTAAGACTTTTATCGTAATTAAAAAATACGACGTTATAAAAACCTTACTTTACGCTGAGTAAAATTACCTTACTGTGCTCAGTTTTTACGAATTTCAAAAATATATACGTTATGCTAGCTAGTATAATATACATATTTATATTAATGTTTTTTCGCAACACTGAATGCTATAGTTTACGTGCAAATTTAATATTTGCATAAGATTCTTAAAGCGCGGTGTTCGTTGGTTTTATTTGAAAATGCAAACATTTATGGGGGAGCTATAGTAGTGTTACGTTGTACAGTATTACGTCCTTAAGAAAAAACGAAAGTCCAAGAAACTAAAGTCCACAAAAGAAAAGTACGATTCGTACGTCTTCTAAAGCCACTATTTTGAAACTTTTGTTGACAGTAAACAATACTCATATGAACGTACGATCACTATTGGAAAAGATCATATGTCTTTTTGGCCCATAAGTAACAGATCAACGTTTAATATTAGTAACATCAATGTTACCACTGCTACTGTTAGGAATTTCGTTCCCTTTGTACTTTACTATCTTTGTACACGCTTCGCCAATAAAAAGTCACAAATAATTACAGCTTATCAGTTACACCTATTATTCTGTTTTTCGTAGTTCGCCCCATTCCGTGCAATTTTGCATAAATTTTGTTGTCTTGACATTTAAATTTTACTTCTTTTAAAGAAATGGCAACAAATATTATAAATCTTGTTTTTTCATTAAATTTTAATTTTATTTCCAAGTTTTTATTGACATTTGTAACAAACGTCATGTTTTTAATGACATTACTATCGAACTTTTTCAATTTACTTCCAAACCAGTATCAACAAGTCATAAAACTTATCGATAACCAACTGGAATAACAAACTCTTGTCTACAATAACATGAATATCTTTTTTATTACATCGCGATAACCAGAAGAGGGTAACAAATACTGATATTGATAAAAACGGGGTCCTTTTTAAGTGTATCTTCAACAGAAATAAGTCGCTTATTAAGGCCAAAGGGTAATTGCATTAAAAGTTGTTTAACTCTTGAAGTCAGTTTTAAAATTGGTTTAAATAAATTTAATTTTAAATTTAAATAATTTTAATAGTAACATATGTAAATGCGTACTCTGTTACCATACTGTTCCTGAAAGTTTAACGTTTTATTGTTGTAAAATCTTTAATTTATGTCGTTTTTGTTTACATAAGGAAGTATTTTGTTTTAGTGAAGGACAATTTTTCATTTCTATTGCCAAAGATTTACAAAGGAACTAACTTTTTAGCTTTAATATACCAAAAATGCAGATTGTTATGGCCGATTTTATGAGTCAAAATATTTGCGAGCAAACGAGATGCCATTCTTTAGTCATCAGCTCATACCCATTTTCGGAAAATCACCAGTTTAAAGAGCCGAAATTTCCACAAAAATCGCGAAAATGATTGCTCTCATATAAGGTTCGTCAATATTTTCGTAAATAACATTATGCTCCCTCTTAAAAGAGTCCACAAGTTTAGTTTTCATCATGTTATCATAGATGTCTTACCTCAATTTTCTTAATAAAACTCAAAAACTATACTGTCTCCTTTCGCAGCCTCAAATTACAGTAGCCCTACTCGGTTTACAACGCCGTTCCAATGATTTATGGTATAATTTCGCTCAATTTTCGACAAAATTACGAGCAGTTTCCTCTGAATTAATCGGTTTGTATGATTGATATTGCGGTAATGTACTGCAATAACAATTTTATCATAATCTGATTTATGGGCTCGAAATTTACAAAAATTACTTGAATTTTGTTTTTCTGTCTTTTATGTAAAACAGTCAGAATCTTGATTTACACGCCGGAACACCATTTCGAATACAATTGGCTCGTTTTCTATCTTTTCGGGGTGAATAACACGAGGTTTTGGGAAAATCAATGTAAAACAATATAAGTTTATGTAAAAACAATAAGAAAATTTATTGGAAAGTACTTTGAAAAAAATGTTTCCCACAAAACAAACAGGATCCCGAAAAAGCTAAAATTTTATAAAACCCGTCATTATTTCGCAACTGTCTAGATATTCTGTCATCTGTGATTAAAATTATTTGGATTTATTTATTTTTCGTGATTTTACTGGTGTTATGTCTACATCTACCGTCTATTTTGTAACTATTTAGTAACCGTATGTTTTTCATTTTATTTTTCTTGTTTTAGGCATTAAACTCTTAGTTTCAACTGTTTTGAGGTATAATATCTAAAAAATGGCATTTTTGTTCTTTTTCGTTGATAAACTTGATATTATCGCACTCAGTAGTGATTATACTGTTGATCTTGTGTTATTATTATAATTTACTTGTTGATTACCTTATTTATGACCATTTTCATCAACTTTATACCTATTTTCAGGAGGTGCATGGGAATGGAGTGCGTTCAGACGTCGGCCCTAAAATACTGGGCCCCACAGAGCTTTGCACAACGTAGATGGTTGGACGACACCGCCCAGGCCTCCTCACCTCCACTCGACATCGAGAGTCATGTGGAGGACGAGTTCACCCCACATTCAGCACCATCTACGTGCACATTGTTGTCGTCGGCGTGCAGACGAGCGGCTTCTTTTCCTTTAGCTAACATGGCATTTCTGGGATGTAATTTACAGGTAACTTTATATTTTGTTTTTAAAAGTATTTAGGATGGGATTTGGTTTGAGGCGTTGAAGTTAGTTTACATTTTTATGGCTTTATGTTGTTTTAGGTAACATTTTTTGATTTATAAAGTACTATAGGAAAATAAAAGTTTTAGCTAAAAGTGAATATTAGTAACGATATAAAAAGCACTGTGCATTTTTTGAGAGTTGATTTGTTTTGCAAACAACTTTACATCAATCATGTTTTAGGCACGGTCTCAAAGTGAATCAGCGGCATTAAATCGGGTTAGTGTGAAGATGCCGAGGACATTACTCCAAGAGTTTCACTACTTTAACCAAAGACAGCAAGAGGCACAGAAGATCTGGAATGGGCCTTCGTTACCTGGTGGCGTTAAATGTGAGTTTATGCTTTAAAACTTTTTTATTCACATATTGGCACAAACTTTTTATAGCAAGTTTTTAACTAGTACTATTAGAAGAGCTTAATAGAGTTAGGTAAATATATCATTTTTTGTAATTTTTTGAAGATATTTTTGAGTCAGTTAGTGTAAATTGATTTATTTGTTGATATAGCTGTGGTGACAATAGATATAATAGCGCGGTAAGGGCAATACGATCATGAATGAAGTGATGTAATTCTAATTAGTAATTCACATGAAATGACGATTAGCATTAATCATAGGCAATTATTCTACATCTTTTGTGGATTATTTGTTTTATATTTTCACATAGTGTATGACTATAACATTTTAGTTTTATCTGGAAAGGTCAGGCATGTATGGTTGAGCTAGAGTTTATTAGTATAAGTATACTAGACTGTAGCGTAGTTGGAATACTAGTTTATGTTTAGAGAATAATATGATCTTAATAGTCATACTCTTATCGTATGTCTTGTCGTATTCACGGGACTTTCAAGTGCAGTCAGAAGTCTCCCATGCCTGATGCAATCTTATTGATATGTCTTTGTGTTCGTCAGAGATAGCCTAGTTATATTGGTTTAAGATAGCAAAAAACATCTTGGTTGAGCGACGTTGACCTTTTTGAGCTAATTTTTCTAGTGTCATTTTTAATATGTTGGCTAAAGTTAAGGAATCTTACACTTTTAGGTTTCTTTGACGTTTTTACGAAGATTTTGATGTTAAGGTTTCTTATTTGCAAGAGTTATGTAGGCTTTCGTATAACATTTGTAGTAAATAGGTGTTCATTTATTCTAGAAACTTTTGGGATATTTTTACTTATTATTCCTTATCAGAAAGATGTAAGGTGTAGGGCAAAAGAACGCTCCAACTCTGATTGTCATTGGGCATTCTTTATTCTAGTAATGTGTAAAGTAACACCGCCAATAAATCTGCTAATGTTTTGGTAAACACGTTGCGCTTCGTCCTTGAAAAGACTAAATTGGTCTTTTTGAAAGCTGTAGAAGTCAGTAGCTTCTTCACTTTCAACTTGTTTCTTTGCTTTATCGTAGTACTTGTAATTTGCTCCAGTACTTTGGTTGTCGTATGATCGGAAGCTTATAACAGTTGTAGAAGAGTCGTGCGAATTGCTTACAAGTCAAACAGATTTGGAATGGTTACAGTAGGGATGTTGCGGTCTGAAGACAAGTGAAGACAAGGCGGTTCATTGTGTACACATTTAGTGCAAACGAGCCTCCAAAGAACAGTAGGAACGTTGATTACAACATGTTATAGAAAGTCTGTGATCACGATGTTTCAAGACGCTTTGCACGTGAAAGTTCATAGGCTGATTAGGCCGTTCTCTTGAATAACAATGACTTCGGAGGGGTGATTGTTTCGGAAGGAATCGTTTTGTTTCAATTTGCTTTTTTTGCTGGGAATTCTAATTTAAGAGGCTAAAGGTTGGCCTGATCTTGGACACTAAAAAGTTTGGAGTTGCAACTGTCACGGACTTTGGGTTATTTTTGACTTTTTGCGATTTTTATTGGATAGTTTAGACCTTTTAAATTTTGGACATAAAGATGATAACATTGTTTTGTCAAAATATGGTGATCTTTTGTTGTAAAAGTATTTGGAAAGAAAAAAATCAAATTTAACCAAATGTATGCATATTAGGATGGCCCGATATCTAATCGGCGGTCGCTTGCACTTCGTTTGAACAGTTGCTTTGATTCAAGGGAATCCTGTCATGTGAATTTCTCTCTTCGCAGCCAGCCAACACCTGTTTAAGCTAATGTTCTGGAAGTGCAATATGTTAATGAAAGATGTCGGGAAATCAAACTGGCTTTATAATTTATAGGCTTTTGGCTGAAAACTGTTACAGTAGTTGGACGTTATTAGGAAAGATGTCTAACTTCTGTCATATTTATAAACTTAGGCCAACTGGACACAAGCTCTTTATTTTTGATTATAGCACGAGTTAGTCGTACTTTGACATATATCCAATGTTTTGTTCTGTCTTCGAATCGGAAAAACATGTGGATATCTAGTTGGGACAAAGGGGTGATTACAGCAAAGTTCATTAATCTGATGCAATCAGCAGACCTCGTTCTTTAGTAAGAAGAGAGTACTGTTAACACTCAAGAACAAATTATTGTTAACATTGAATGGCGATTTGTGATAGAAGCTTAGATAAATTGTACTTTTAATATTCACTGTTAATAAGTTGTAGTCTTGCTAAAATAGTTGTTAAGTCAAAAGGATTGATAAGTGTACTTTTATGAATGGTATGATTAAATTTGCACGTTTATGCTGACACAGTGAAAGGGACATTCCTAATTTAGTTTCCTTATCAGAACATGTGATTGTTTCGGGAACAATCTAGGGTCAAAGGTGTTCTTTTGTGTAGGGTTTCTTCCGTACTCTAATATTGTTTTTGCTAGTTGATAAAAACTATGTTATGTTACAGAACTGGTCGTTTATATGTTACAGAAAGAAGTGTACTGTCATACAAAGGATCTTAATGATCAGTAATCAAGCCTTCCTTTGGTTTCTTTGTTTGCCGTCTTTGTTAAACCGTTTTTCGAACGGTTCAAAGTGATAAGGCTACGCTCTTTCTTGTGTTTATTGCCTTCTGACTGTTTGAACTTATTTTTGGCTTTATTGTTCAAGAATGTACACTATCACCAAAAGCACGATAACATGTTGTTTTTAATCCTGTTTACTTCACTGACTAATTGCATACTGTGATTAACAATGTACGTTTATCAGTATGTTATTGCCGATTTCCTTGGGTCGTGAAGCGGTGGCGGCCTCTGCACAGCCTTTCACCACTCTTATCTTATCATTTGTTGTTGTCGACTCCCAATAACTTTCCGACTCGACTCACGTGCGTTTCCACTAAAGAAACAATTGATAATCGGGTGAAATGGCGATGCTGAAGGTTGTCGTACAAGAGAGGGCTGGTGGGGTGGTTACGATGTCGGCACACATTTTTTTAGAGGATGCTTAAGGCAAATGTTGAGGTAGAAAAGGTTTCAGACCATTTTATTTTTACTAACTTTCGCTGCTGGTTTTGTGATTGATTGGAGCGATGTTCAGTTTGGTTTCATTTCATTCTTTTACCTACATTTCGAGATGTTGATCTTTTAAATTTTATTTTTAAAAACTTTTTCTTTTGCTTATACTATACCAAAAAGCTCACTTTCTGCCACCCAATTTGAATGTCATGCTGTTTGACATTAGTCGTGGTTATGAATATCATGTGCAGCCCTTAGGCGCTCGTGATTGGCTTCCGCATCTTTCTGGAACTCCGCCTTCAGCGACTTCCCACCCTTAATTCGGAAAACTTCTGAACCCACCCAAAGCAAACTCGATCTGTTTCTCTGCCGCCGAGGGAAGTCCACTCTCTATCGTCGGAAGGGGCCGATCGTTCGATTTGATATAGGAACCGAGTGCAATCAGTTGGGACCACAATTGTTTTTGGGTTTATGTGCACTTGCTTCTTTAAAAGTTTTGGGACTTCTGAAAGTTGCGGGGAGGGGACTTGGTTACTGATTTGCGTAATATAATATCGTTATGAGGGTTGTGATGATATTATGTATGGGTATCTTATACTTGAGGTAGATCTTTACATATTTCTTATTTTTTATGTTAAATATTAATTATTAAATGACAATACAAATTGGGGTTGAAGTGGATATTGATGAAGAAGATTGTTGTCGGTTATGATTCTTTTTGTGTCTACGCTCTCATTGATCTTACGATCTTTTTCTTTGTGTACGGTCGAGATTCGGTTGGTGTAATGGCGCGGCGCTTCTATCGAATGTTTATATATTTATATCGGTTTTGGGTTTAGTGTAAACGGCGTGGCCTATTGTTGTCTGTTTGTGGCCCAGAATGCTTGCGTACGATCAGTATTACATGTTCGAGTGCGCCCCTAGTACTAGTTTAGAAACCAGTAAACTTCAGTTTAGACCAGGTATGGTTTTGGAGTCACGACGGTGTAATAGGTGCACTTAAGGCAGTATTGTTATTAAAATATAACTCTATAAAATAGAAAAAGTTACTATTTTTATCATTTATGTCAAAAATTATAATTGCCATTTTCAGTCTATGCTCCAGTCCACGAAGATGGAGGTTCAGAATCCGACACAGAAGAAGGACGTATGTCTTCGTCTCCTTCATCGTCATCGGACGAAGATGATGTACAAACTACACCGACTAGTCAGCAAGTCCCTCTCCTCCTCTTAAACAATCAACCGGCTCCAGCTATATGCTCTGATGACATCGTGCGTCATCTGGAGTTGACACTAGAAAACACAAAGGTTGACGAACATGGTCAGAGTGATAAAACATCCAAAGTTATAAGTGGTAAGATTGTTTTTTGTTTTATAAGGATGTTTTGGTATTTAGATGTTTGTAGTATTCAAATTGAATTTATACAATGAAAATGTCTTAATTATAATTATATTAAGCAAGTACAAATATAATGAAACCGTTTTCAGACGAATGCACAAACTCCTCTACCTCTTCCGAGACTTCACACTTGCTACACGAAGAAACGAGTGCTTCAGCCTCTGACAGTGAAGCCAAGTCTTCCTCCTCCCAAACCACCCCCACCAATACCCACAGACGCAAACATCTTCGTGCTCATCGTCACGCTTCTCGTGCTGTCCGTTTCGCCGACGAATGTGGCAACGAACTCTACGAACTGAAGGTTCTCACGGAGCCTTCAGATTACCCTCCAGAGATTCCACGAGCAGTGATACAGCGTCATCGGAAAGCGGCCGGTTTGAGCGATTTGAGCGACGAAGAAGGATCCAAGCCTAAGCCCAAATCTACATGGAAGGTGATGTTCAAACAGCCGGCTAGCGAGTATTTCAAGTTCAAACAGAGTTTGGAAGCCAACCACGTAGCTTTGGAGAATGTCATTGTCAAAAACGAAGTGCCTAAAGTCGTTGGAACGATCAAGGTAATTTTTTGTAAACTTTTAAAAAATGAAAACTTTAATTTTTACTATTGCAAAAGCCGTTTTAAAACAAAATTTCGAATTCAGGTCGATTGAAAGAACTTTGAAAGCAGTTTGAGACAAAAGCTAATGTTGGTTTAAGTTCCGCGGTCTAGAAAGGTTATGAATTGCTTTTTCCGATTAGAAAACGTGCAAAACATGAAACTTTGAAAGTTATGAAACTCGTTGTGAAAACATGTGACTATATTATTGTATCTGCGGTTATGATTGATTTTGTTGTAAGATCGGTTTATGAAGGTTGTTTACACATATCATAACTTTTCTTACTGTAACAATATCGTCTTTCTCAATTCGAAATGAGTAATTGCTTTCACAACAGAGGTTAGAAATAGAATGGCATATTTTAAATATGATATTGAGAATAAGCAATTGATTGTAAAAATGAGAAATTAATATTATATTATTGTAGGTGGGAAACATTGCATTCGAGAAGCGGGTCTTCTTAAGATGCACGGCAGATCGCTGGAAATCGTTCCAAGACTACGATGCCAAGTTCTTGACTTCGGCTTCCAAAAACTTTGACACATTCACTTTCGACATTCCACTCCCCAACAACATTGGCCAAGCGGTAAGGTTACAACAGTATATTATACTAGATTGTAACACTGTAATTTATGACTTTTGAAAACGGAAGTTGCTTTTGTAAACAATAAAGTCTTCTATGACTCTAAAACAATATAAATCCCTAATCTTTAGTCACTGATTGTGTGGCGTGATCCCTAAAACTTTATTAAAGAGAGATACGCGACCGAAAATGATTTGTAGCGGCGCAAAGACAATTTGTTAAATTTAAAAAGTCCCGCTAGCACGTGAATATCAGGCACAAAATTAGTTTAATTATTAAACTAATAATATTATTGTAGTACTTTTTTTTGTTACGTCTGACGTAACATCTAGTTATGACTTTTACTCTACAGTAGTCTTTACTAATGAGTATTTACATTTTAATAAGTCTTATTTTTCAGAATTCTCACTACGAATTCTGCCTGTGCTACTGTGCCGGTAAAGACCAATATTGGGATTCAAACGACGGCAAGAACTTTATTCTGGACGGAGAATGCAGTCTGCCCCCAGCTTCTCCCCCTGCCCGCGTACCATCCCCGAAGCCCCAGACCAATGCCAAAATACCGGCCGCCAAGCTTCGGGCCGCCTACAACGACGCTTACCGTATGGAATACCGTAATTGGTCGTCGTTCGCATCGTGGAAGGAGCTCAGTACCGACGAGCCCTATTGGTAATGGTACCATTGGTTCACCGTGCTCCGTCGTCGATTAATGATTCGATTGTGACGCGAATATTGTTTTTGTAATCTCTCATTCTCCAAGTCATATTCACAGTGTCTGCAGTATTAAATAGTAATGATACTGACCGGATGCTGAGCCCAGTACGAAGCCCTCCTCTTCATACCAAAGCTATGTAAATTTGAAACCCAGCTGAATACTATGTAGTCAACGATAATTGTATATCATTCATGTGGAGCTAAAACGAGTCGAAGCCGCACCCGGGTCCGAACAACAATGTGCCATTTCTCTTCCCACTTTTGTATGTTACCGTAATGTTACTGTATTATTAGGTCTTTATATTTGTTTACACTTCAGGTGTAAGGTGGTATATCGTGGTGATATACTGATTAGGGATGTGTTATATAATACTTGTAAAGCATTGTGAGAGTATCGCCGTATGATACTACCACTGTCCTTGCAGTCATATTTTCTCATTTTCTTATCTTTTTTAGCCGGTGAAGTTACAGTATGCCCTTTTGTAGCCCCATTTAGTATATTTACCTATTCGAATACATTTATCAGATATTTGTTTTGTTTATTTACTTACGCTCAATATTACACATGCAGGTTAACCCGAGATTCTACTAGACGTTTCTAACTTTCTCTTTTCTGGTTGTATAACTACTACTCCTAATTTCTAATGTAAATTCTTCGAAAGGCCGAACAGGACCTTATGTTAAGGCCTCAACGAAATTTCTATAACTATTCTGTTATATATGTTAAATAGTATAGTACAAACTACATAAATTACAAAACTCATCCCAACGTCGGATTATGTGTGACAATACGATTGTGATTTGAGAAATAAATTGTAAATGTTATTTTTCTCAGCGATACTACCGTAAACTTAAAATAAAATTACTGTAAAAGCATAAAAATTTATTTTTATATTATAATTGTGGTAAAAAAGTAACTTCAATACAAAATGTAGAATAAGAATGTCAGAAAATACTCAAAAACGTAAAGAAACAAATCGTAACTTCAAACGCTTCAAGCACAACACACCAACTAGCACTACCATGTATTTATGGAACCAAATTCAAAAACAATAACTTTAAAAACCCTACTAATTAGTGTAACCGTATAACAACAAAATAATGGAATATGAGAGCACAATAAACAAATCAATATGATCACATCTTGGGCTGTCGCTGAACACCGTCCACGGTATCGGTCCGGTGACGGCTCTCAGCGGAATCATTTCGTTCGGATTGCGATAATTGAGCATCTGAAGGATTCTGGAAGTTTTGGAGAGCGTGGGATTCGACCTCGCGAGGCGCTCGGTTAGGCTGGAAGCCGAACGGTTGGGAAGGGACTTGGCCTGGCCTTTTGATCTGAAATTGACAATTATAGTGAAAGGAATAGTTATTGTTTAATCAAGACAGTTAACAGAATAGTCAAAATTAAACGAATCAGAGATTCTTAAACAACCAAGTTTATTAGCGTTAGGACAGCACACTTAATTTTCATTAACAAGTTTATCAAGTCTTCCATAACATTTTAAAATAGATGAAAATCCATGAAATCACAAATGTTTAAAGAAAAGATCATACACGTATGACAGATAACAACAACAATTTAAAAACCACATTACACATATCGACAACTCACACTGCCAGGAGTCTTAACATGGCCGTTGAAGCTCGGCCTAACAATGAATGCCTCTTTTGGAGTGTGGATAGGAGCTTGTGGTGCCGTGGTGGCAAACCTGGAATGATCAATATTGCGTGACGGAATCTCTTCGGCTTCGTTGATCTTCTGAGTGAACGAACACCGCCTTCTGCGTCGTTCATCTTCCCAATCAGCGTGATCGCCCCACAAACGTTCGGGACCATCTTCTGGCTGGACCGAGAAGGACAAACGCTGCATATTCTTGAAGATGGTTTGTTCACGCACACTCAAAATCTGTAAAAGGTGAAATTATACACAAAATAAAAAAGGTCTTTCTAAGTAATTACAAAATTGAGCATCTTAAACCTAAAACAATATAAGTAATATTCGTCTAATCTTCTTTAAAATTACACTGTTAACACGCTGGTACAAACCACTGCTTCTCCTTCTTACCTCGCCTAGATTATCGTCGTCTCCTTCTCGGATTTCCTTGTCAATCTTTCGCAACGGAGCCAACCCCTCGACTCCGTCGATATGTTTTTGATTTGGCTTCATAATTTGGATGGGAACGCTTGAAGCAATTAAGTGTTCTGTACGTGGCGTATTCTCTTCCGTCTCTTCTTCATCGACAGTGCTGAGAAAAGTGTCTAAACCAAAAGCATTGGCATTAAAAAGAAATTACTTACCATCAGCATCGTCAAAGTTAACATCGTCTGTATAGAAGTCAATTGGCCGTCTTTTTTGTTCTTCTTCTTCCTCGTCCAGTTTGAAGAACTCTGAAAAAATATAAATTATCAGGGACAAGGAAACAACTATATAGCGACAGCGTTAACACCTTGTAGTACAAGATCAATTCTAATTGTCTCCACTCAAATTCATACCTAAATTGCAACCAAAAGAAACTCTTACCTTCATCAATATTGTCATTAATATGAGGTTGTCTTCTGACTGGCAACGAAGCTACAAGCCTTTCTCCTTTGGCTCGTTCCAACTCGGTTTCGGCCAGGATTGGCAGCTGATCTTTGGTTCCAATTGACATTGTAAACGGAACGAATATCCACCAGAAATGATTGGACTGCTGTCACGGAGGGTTACCCGCGACTTGTTGGTTCATTCAATTCCCTTCTACAAGTATTATCTAATCTACGAGACTTATATCGCGCTTGCACAGCATGTATACATCATAAGAATAACGGGAAAAGGTAGGTTTATCTCGGAGTAATAACCTTTCTACATTAAACGAAGTAATGGTGGTTAATATCCGCTTTAAATCGAAATATAAGCCTAAAATTGTAAATTAAAATATAAAATAAAGAAAGCTGTTAAACATAAATATATTATGAATACAAATTTATGATATTGACAAGAAAAGTAAAGTCTAGCTGAAAGATATTTGCAAATATTGTTAAGAAAACACAAAAAACGTCCATTTCAAAAGATACGACTGATAAAATACGGCGAAAATATTCTTCCACCAGGTTAAAAATGTAAATTTATACAGTTTTAATTACAGACAATCAGTGATCAATATTTTAACACATAAACAAACAACGTCGACCATCAAAATTGTTAAAATTCGGTCTTGAAACGCAGTTAAACCTTGACAAACTCCTTAAAAAGTAATAATAACTTTTCGAAAATAATAAATGGAAAAAGATAAGTAAACCCAACGCCAATTTATTAAGGGACCCTGCTGTAAAACGAAAAAAAGAGCAAAACATTATAGAAAAAAGAAAAGTATATTAACCATGGGGCGCAGTTTGCGAGCGCTAAAAAATAATTTTGATTTATTTAATCTGTAAAATGTGTCATGGAAAAGTAAACTAGTATGAATTATTGCAAAGTTAAACTTATAAGTTTTTATTTATCCAAGTTTAAATATTTTTATAGCAAAATAAAGTGAATTATGGATATAGCTAAATCAAAAAAGGCGTCTTCATGACTGTCTTTCTGGAATTCTTCAGCGTCTCAACACGATAATGTGTTTCTTTAGTTAGGACAATTCCTAATTATAATCATGATGCAATTGCAATAATTCTTTCATGTTTTTATTCCGATTATGGATCGTATCAACAATTTAATTACTAGATTTGGTTGTGAAAGATATTGTAGTATGTTATAGTAACAAAGCGATATATCAACTCTTGATTGCTGGTAACCGTTGAACTGTGGATCGTTTTGAACCTGTAATTTATATCACACGGTAATTGGTATATCTTACAATAGTATTGTTTTGGGTAATTACGAAACACTTTTTAAATTTATGTCAATATTATTATACATTGAAGCATTTACCTTGTTCCGAGTTTGTAGTGGATGCCGAGCTCGGTATTTCAGGTAGCTTTACCCGTTTTACTGGTTTTATATTACTCGTTTTCCTATCCAGAAGCTGAGAGTTCCACGATGTCATGTTGTCTCGTACTTGTAGAGGAATCAGATGATAGTTGAGTTGAGTCTTGATGACACGGTATTCAGCCTGCAGTTTCTGTCGTTCTTCATCAGACAAGTTGGCTGATATCAGTTTGTCAGCTATCTGTTCGTACTTCTGAACCTTGAGTAGCGAGTTCTCTTGACGTCTTAGCCTCAGGTTCTTCAATTCGGCGTCTGATGCCAGTGCAATCTCTGAATATAGGTTTGATGTAGTTAGTATGATTACCGTATAACGTTTTGACAATATTTGTGAGATTTGAGAGCAAACATTGGAGAAGAATAACGAAGTTAATTTTTAATGTTTGGGTGGATTCCCATGGCATTTTGAAACAATTTATATAAATATTGTTTCATAATTGCACTTTGGCCAAAATAATGTTATTTTTGCTAAAACTCGTGCTTATGAACACTTCACCAACAAAGCAGCACCGTACTAATAGATATTGTATACATTCTATCCTCATGTATCACACTTACTTTCAGCTTCTCGTTCAGCCATTTTTACCAATAAATTGACCATTTCGTTTTGGTCAGCATCTTTGGCTTGACCTCTCATTCTAGCTTCGATCCCCTCCAGAATCTCTTGATTCTTTCTGATTAATCGTTCTGCCTTCTGTCGATTGTCATGCAGGTTTGACAGTCTGTTCTCCTAAAAATAATTTTTTAAACTTACATTATTGGCTACTTTTTTGCTCTTGCAATGATTATATTGGGAAAAATAAACAAAGTTATTGTTGCTATTACCTTTTCGGACATATCAGTTTTGATTCTCTCTACAGTCTCTGAATATTTCTCTTCATCGTCTTTTGTCCTATTCTCCCAAGCATCGAGGATTGCCTTCTTTGCTCCAACATTCATTTCCAAATCGACCGCCTCGTGGTTGATCTTCATAAGTCTTTCTCTTAACTTGGTCAACTTCTCTACAGTAACAAAATACTGTGATTTCAAAGAGTGGAAGAGGTTGGCAAAGCGGCGAGGATTGGAATTGTGATTGTCAATGTTGTTGTTCTTGGTTGTCAAACCTTTTTCGGATACTGAAATGTGTTTTATTAGTATATTATAGTAGATATAAAATATAATATCTATTATAACACATTATAGTAGATATGGGATATAATATCTGCTTTTATAACTCCTTCGTTACGATACAGCATACTTACTTTGATGTGAAGATTCAGCGTGAGACATTCCAACTCGTTCCTGAGCTTGTCTTCTGAAGTCTTTCATAGCTTCAGCGTAGGCTTGGTCAGCAGAAGCCGGTCGATTATACACAATCTGAAATGTAGCGTCACACGAGGAAATACATTAACTGTTGCAATACTTCAACCATGACCTTTCGTTCTTTAGTACTTCAAAACGAACGTTCTTGAGCGTGAATTTCGGATTTAATGTGACAAAGTTTACCTGTCCAAAATGTTTGTTATAGGTATAGTACTTTTTTCTATGGGTATCAAATCACAAGACTGTAAATTGTCTTTAAAACGTTTTTTTACTATAACACAAATATGTGGACCATCTTACCCTTGTAGTGATATTCCTAGCTCTATTTGCATATACCAATGTGTTATAAGTTTCATCGTAATTCAAAGAAGCTGGTGTCACATGAGCTAACATAATTGTCTTAGAGTTTCCCCCCAATGAATCCTTGAGTAGTCTTGTCAGTTTACTGTCACGGTAATTGACATATCGTCCCTTGTTGTTCGTACTCAAAGCATTGATAACGTTTCCCAAGGCTAATAACGACCGGTTGATGGCTGCTCCTTCTTTCAATCTCTGACCTTGATTTTGAGTTTGTGAAGCTCGCTCAGAGCCGGCTAGATCAATGAGGAAGAGCTTGCCATGTTGGACTTGCTTCTTATATAGAGTTACTTGGAGCAGGGCATGGCTTCTAGAAGATGATTTGTTGGCTGCCGTTGGTTCTTGGGTTCGACGAGAGTTGCCTTCTTGAAGAATTTGCATAATCTAAAATTTAAAAATATTTTATTTTGTTATAGAATTCGTTGATGCAGAATATAAAAACATATTATTTTAGCTATCTTTCCAAAACTTATTTCAATATCTTAAAACTACCTTACCTTATTAGTGTTAGGTGCTTTGACCCTAGACAACCCAGGCACCAGCACATTCCCTTTCTCATCCTCCAACAAATCCAAAGCGCCAGCACCTGGATTCAGAAGGTCCTTGATGACTTCGTTGTAGATTTCCAAGAATGATATGTAAACAGTATCTTCTTTTCCCAACTTTTCGTATAAAGCTCTGGTTAACAATGTCATAAGACCCGGTCTCTCAGCTGTGCCAACCATTGTGTAAGTTTTGCCACTTCCTGTAGGACCATAGGCGAATACTGTAGCGTTACAACCAGAGGTGACAAAGTCTACTAGTGGAGCTGTTGTGGCATCGTGTACTTCTTCCTATAAGAAAAATTGGTTTTTAAAATGATGTTTTAGTCAACAAAGAGCTTAAAATCTAATGCTTTTTATTTTATAGGTATAGTTTCTTCTTTCTTATTGTTGTTGCCCAAATTATGGTTATTTCATAATATGTTGTGAACTACTTTTTATATTTTTACTATGACATTTATTAATCAAAAATGACTTACATGTTCTGATCCAGGTCCAAAAACAGCATCAAAATTAAAAGTCCGTTCGTGCTGTCGATTCTGTCGCAAAATATTGTTTTCATATTTTTCTGGATCAACCAGTAGCACTTTCTGAAAATAATCTCACCATAATATTAATCTTACTGTTAGGTTTAATGACAATCATAAAATTTCAAAATGCCAAATTCAAAAACATGTACAACTGACCTGCTGATCCAACGCGTAAGCACATTCGAATCCTTTCTTCTGTTTCTCATTCTCATTCAACGGTCGTATTCTGACGGCTACGACCAACTGTGACGTGGAATTACCCAAACTCGCCCTTCTGGGTGGATACACTTGCCGTCCTCTTCTCTGCACGGTCTTTCGTTTCTCTTCTGTCGAGCTGGTCGAGGCCGAGGAACTGCTACCGGTCGGTGAGTTCACGGCCAAATTAGTCATTGTTCTGGCCACAAAAGACGCCTTAACTAAGGCCGTCGTACATGACACGGATTTGTTCGCTTTGGTTTGCTTTCGATGAGAGATGGGGAATATAATGGATCCGAATTCAATGAATCCGGCTTGTTTTTAACTTCGAACAACTTCTGAAAGTAAAGGTGTAAACAAGCGACTATATTATTGCATGTTACGATAATTGTGGTTTTGTATGGTAGGGACATAACCAGTAATATGACGGTATTGTATGACAAAGACATGGTCAATATACTGTTACACTAAGGTGTACATGACAATAGCAGAGACGTGTAATATAACGTTATTATTAATACTACAAAATAAGGAACGTGCATAAAACAACGTTACCACGGTAATATAATTACAAAACCAGACAATTCTTTGACGTTTTGTTTTGTCAAACGTCAAAATAAAAAAAGTACAGTAGTTTTTAATTTTAGGTAACAAACACTACTGTAATTAAAAAAGTTACAAAAAAAATGAAAAACTTTGTTATCAGTCAAAGATCGTATTATTAATATAAAAATTGTAGAAAATGTAAAAAAGTATTAGCAAAATTCATACTTTAGTGATGAAAGGCTTCTTTAGACATTACGAAGTAATGTATAGCTATTTCAGCACTAAAACAATGTTTACATCAAAAAGCAACAATTAAACATAACAGATGTTTAAAACTTAATTACGGAATCTGAAAGGAAAACAACAAAGCTTCAATTTAAACATCCTAATAGATAAAAATATTTATTTTATAATATAAAAATATTAAAATTTAATTTGAAAAATTACGAAATCTTTTATTCGTGCCTAAAAATAAAAGTTTTTGTAGCTTTACATTAATACAAACGTAGTAGAGACGTGTGATATCAAATATTCTAAAGTAATTTTTCTATTTAAAACCACCTGACAACAGAGTAACGTACAGAAAGGCACGCTGCCGTTCCCACCGTTCCTACTCTCTCATTGTGTTAGAGATTACTTTACAAAGACTACAATTATCAAAGATTTTACTTTACAATTAGTATAGATTTTAAAAAAAGCGTACTACGTTCAAGAACTTTACTATGTCCTTGAACATAGTAAACCACAATGAATTTTAAAATGATAAAAGTAACAGTAATGAAACGGTTTGTAATTTAAAAACTAAAAAATTCAGCCAAAAATTCTTATTTTTTAGTAATAAAGTAAAACTTACACATCGTATTTTGACTATAGTAATAACAGTAAAGAGTAGACATAGTAGTAGCTCAGTTGGAATCAAAATAAAAATGTTATTTAAGTTGTTTGTTGTGCCTTTCTCAAAAGTAAGTCATTCGTTGTGAAAACGCCATGACAACGATGACAGAACGGGTCGTTGCTTCAAAAAGAATACCGAACTAAACAATTAGAGGATTCAGAAGCGTGCAGAAGACACAACCGTTGCAAAAAAGCTGTCACATGATCAGAATTTACCATTCAGAATATTATATTTTTTAATTTTATAAAATTTTTAAAAAGTGGCAAGTAATTAAATATGGAATTACTCTAAATAAAGTATAATTTAAAGACAAGAATTGACACACGTGCATACTAAGTATAAATGTCCTAAGCGCTCCAATCCTCACGACTATAACAATATTCAGTATTCTGACACAGTATGGTACGAAACTGAAAGTCGGTTAGCTCTTCCGGCCATGCAAAACACCTTTCTTCATTCGAGGTTTACGTTTTCCGGTCGTTTAACTTTTCAATCAAAACAAAATTTTTATTTTGCAATTTATACAGAGCTAAAAGATTATATTATTTTAAGTTATTCCTAACAAAATCAGTTTTTTAATAAATAATACTTTTTAAAATTAAGTTCCAGCCTTTATGTACATAATATTTATTATAGGTTAGAAAATTGGTTATAAAATTAGCTCCATCTAAGATTCCATTTTGTTCGTGTTCTTCATGTACTCGTCCAATTCCTTGTCCAAGTCTTCGGCCGTCATTTTTGGCTTCTGAGTCTTCTTGGGACCGCCCTTTCCGCCTGGACCATTCCTTCTTGGTGGACCACTGCGACGGGCTGGACCACTTCCTGGACGAGACACTCTTCGTGAGAATGATGGAGAACCACCAGCACCAACCACACTCAACTCCACTGCTCTACCATCGATCTCCACACCTGTAAAGTCCTTCTTTACCCTCTGGATGGCATCTGGCTTTCCGTGGAGTTCGGCTGTGCCAAGGGACCGTCCTTTGAAGTCGTAGTGCAAAGTGACCTTGGAGAGTCTGTACTTTTGGAACAAGGTCTGAAATAGTTAAAATTAATAAATGTAAAGTAAAATTGGTAGCTTTATTTCTTTCTTTTTAGTAATTTGTCTAAAACTAAAGTAAAAAGTCAAAATTTACCTCTAATTCAGATTGAGTTACGTTGTAAGGAATGTTGGAGATTCGGCAGACAGCTTTTCCTCCTTGAGACGGTCCTCCAGACGACCGCTTGTTGTAGACTTCGAAGAACTTGTCGTTGTCCCACTTCTTGGGGTTGGAGTTTCTCTGAAGATCCCATTAAAAGTTAACTATTACAATATCTAAACCTCAATAAAACCCAAAAACCGATGACATATTTAGTAGACAATAAGTAGACCATTCCAAAATGTCCATAAAGGTTTTTGAACCATCGCCAATACTTTCAAACTGTTACGGTAATCAAGTGAAAAGCACATTACATTGTACTATAAACTTGAATACCGCAACCTCCATACTGTAACTTCTCTCATTTGCATACTATAACATCTCAAACCTTCATACTGTAACTTCTAGCCACAAGTTAAGTATGACATTGTCTGTCACTTGTTATCGTACCAGTAGTACGGTACTACCATTAACTACGAAGTACAGTATTCAAACTGTCCGTTACTGTATGTAGTTAGAAAATTCCGGTCGAAATTCCTTTCTCAGTCAGTCAAATTGGGGGTATATTTCACAAGGGACCAAATACAGGAGTGTACGGTAGAAATGTAGAAACTTGGCGTACCTTCTTAATTGGACTAGCTCCACCAACACGACGAGGGTTGCGACCAGTACCGGTACTGGCACGACGAGCTCCACCAGACTTCTGGGAGCGGTTCTTCTTGATGATATCGTCCAAGGACATTTCAGACAAATCTCTAAAACATTACATTTTATTAACAAGAAAGTGGCATGTGTATTACAACGTATATTACAATATATTTTTGATTTTAACTAAGTTGTGATTAAAATTTATAAGAATTCTTCACAAAACAATACTTTAAAATCGATTTTTCTTCAAAAATCTATAAGAAAACCCTGATTTATTCACAAAACCTTACCTGGCAGCCATTACGATTGTTTAGAGTTGACTTCTACAAATAAATGAATAAAGTATAATAATATTAAAAGCTGGAGATTTAATACAGCACGAGATCAGAGCGCACCGAACTAAACCAAGGTAGATCGACGAATGAATACTTTAAGTCGGCTGACTCTGTTTTCTAAAGGGACGCACATGTGCGCACATAAAAGCTTTAAAGACGCGATTTCAACACACAAAAATCCCCTTTTCAGGGTAAAATTGGCGCCAATTTCAAACGTAAAATATGAAAAAAGTTATATAAAGAAGGTGTAGCTAAAGATTTGTAAAAACATAAATAAATAGTAGCTTTTGACAATAAATTATAAAAGTATACTAATAAAAAGCGACCAGAAATAATAGAAATCAAGAACTGAACTTTTTAAAGTCAACCGTTGGGATCAGATTAAAAATGAAACATGATTTAAAATCTGATTTATAATCAAACTATTTTCTAAATAAAATAAAAGCGAATTAATACAGGTTTCCGGTAAAATAATTTCACAACCTTTTTCACAAAATTCCTCGTCTTTCACGTCTATCCAACCCGCACGAACCCTGGCCGCAGATCGCTGCTTTCTGCTTTGATAAAAAATATTCTCGTGGTAAATAACATCGAAAAACTTCAAAGAACGATCAGAATCTTGATCTTTAACATCAATTTTAACTTTTAATAATTTTTTCAATAATCTCGATGTTTTTTTTGCGTATTTTAGTTTTTATTTTTTGTTTTACATTGTTTTAGACGATTTTAAAGTTTTGAATTCTAGTTGAAAACCAGGAACAAGAATGTTGGCTACCAGGTTGACCGTTCAACGATGTGGAGTCTCAATTCGTCAATTCAAAACTAGGTATGTGTTTTTAAAATTGCTTTAGATATTTAGGTATATTTTACGAAAGATACTTCAACAAATTGTGCGAGGCTTTTCTCTGATTCTTGGCTGTTGGGAATGTTAAGAAAGCTTTTATCTATGGATTTTTTAAATAAAGAGTATCAAAGTTAATTTCAGTTCAATCCGGCCGAGTGAAGCCAAAACTCCAGTTCAAGAATGGGGATACCAATATCTGAAGAACCAAAAAGGCTTGAAGAGACCAATTGCCCCACATCTTACTATCTACCAACCTCAGCTAACTTGGGTTTTGTCTGGAGCTCACCGTTTCTGTGGATGTTTGATGGGAGGAAGTAAGTTTATTTATGTTTATGGAAATTTAGGTATAAAGCAAAATTTTTAAAAGCGAAGCTTTTAATATAAGGAAACATTAGCTATGTGTTTTATTTTAAATAAGCTTTTACGCTGTTTTTTCTTGAGTAAGCACTTTTAATGTTGATCTTCGTTCACATTATTCCTATATTCAGCTTTGTTGCTCGGAGGTCTCGGCTTCATGCTTGGTCCAGTTTCGTACGCCGAATTTATTGAGTACTTCCGTGGACTGCCAGCTGTGGTGACAGCTCCATTCAAATTCTTCATTTCGTTTAACATTGTCTACTACGCTCTGAATGGTCTTCGATTGTTGGCCTTCGACTTGGCCAAGGGAACTGATCTACCAAGTGTTTACAAGTCTGGATGGGCAGTTATCGGTCTCTCGGTTCTGATCAGTCTCTTCGTCGTCGCGACTTCTGGTGGCAAGAAGGAAAAGTAAATTAGAAAACTCATGCATATTCTGTGTCTAGGTATTTACATCAGATAAATTGGATATATCGATCAGAGGTAATATTTATTTCAAAGGTATAATATTGTTGGTGGAATTCAAATCATTTACTTTTTAAAACTAAGTATTTATTGAGGTACTGGGGCATAAGGTATTGCTACTTCACGGTTTTAGGTGTAGTAATTTAAGTTTGTAACATATAATCATACCTTCTATGTTTTTATAATGTACTAATCTGACTTGATAGGTATAGCGCGATGAACAAAGAATAGTTGCTGTTGAACATATTGAATACCAAACACAAATACTAGGAGTACAAGAGTACCAGCTAACACAAATCTAGGTATAGCAATGTAATCGGTAGGTAATCGTTCACTGTCTGCGATTAGTTCTTCTACATTATCACAGCTTTCTCTGGGCCACAATAATAATATAGCTGTTGGGACAGCAGCAAGAATAATGTATTTTAGACCTGCTTGTCTGAAATTTTGAAAGTTTTTATAGTTTTTATGGGTTTAATTATCAATTGTATGTTTTACATTGATGCAAAAATAATGGCGCGTTTTAAAGCTTATATTATTTAAAAAATCAAGAGTTTTAATGCTCTATTTGGTACGATATTATAAAGATAAGTAACTTACACTCCACGACTTCTGGAGAATGCTAGATATAATGTCATACACACTCCCCATAAGGTGGCTAATATTATCACACCTGGGCCAAGTCCACCAATTCGGATAGACATTTTAATAGCGGGTCGAAAAGTATGTGGAACTGTTGGTTAGGGATATATTTCTAGCGCTTAGAAGAGTGGTTGTTATGGAAACTAAATTTTTGTAAAAATGATTTTCGACCAAAAAGGTGTGCTAATGTAAAACAGAAAAAATAACAGTTTATGCAAGTGTTATCACCTTATCACACAAAAACTCATCAAAATGAAAAACTATTTACTCTAGTAATAAATTATATTTCATTATATCTGAAGAGTGAAGCTGCCCGTATAATTAAATGCGTCGCTGGTTAGCTGGTATTCCAATTCAATCTAAAATAATGTCAGATGATAGGTAATTTTTCAAATTATAGTTTTAAACTGGTATTGAATAGTTTTTGTGATATAGATTAGAACAAATAGTAAAACGCTTACATTGGAAAGGCCTTGAGCCAACGGTAACAGTAAGAACACTTGGTTTATGGTAGGAATGGGCTTCAATGGGTTTATGGCTGCTATCGTATGTTTTTGGACATCTACGTTACGATATGTGACTAACTAAAATTGTATTTGTTAAAAATGTGGCATTAGTCACGAACATACGGTATTAAAGTGAGTAACAACACTTATATATATGCACCAAAATACCGTTACTTATTAACATAAGTAACGATACTTTGGTAGTTGTAGTAAGTAAATAGTATTCAAGAATTTTCAAAGGCTTACTGGCGATTTGGAACTCAAGTATAAGGTGACATTTGATAAGCTTTGTGTTGATGTGAATGTGAGTGTAGCTAGAGCACAAACGATGGAATCGTTTATGGGAGTGTTGGGTTTTATTAGGTACAGTATCCCTTTTACTACAGGTTTGTCACAGAATACTACTAGCTGGTTGGACACTGTAAATATTGATTGGTATGTGTAAAGTTGATGTTTATGTTAATGGTTTACATTTAAAGTGAAAAAATAGCTTAAGATAAAACTTACAAAAGGTTATTAAATCTAAATTAATGTGGACATCTTTGAGAAGGAAGTTGTCGTTTTCTGCCGTGTGATTCTGAAAGATTACTATAGTAAAATTGTGGTTACACAGTTAAAAAACGTATATAGTGGACATCGTTTTGGATTGGGCCCATATTTTTAGTTTATTATACTTACATTTTCTGATTTTTGTACTGTAACTGAAGGAGTACTGGATAGTAAACTCTCGAGATCATCTTGATTTGTCTTCAAACTTTGCTGACTACCAGTTACTTTATTCGAAGTAGAAGGCATTGAAAAGTCAAGCAACTCTGATATGTCACTTGATGATTGCGGGTCGTTTCTGAAGTAAAAAAATCTTTTTTATATGATTTAACCTCTTATTATGTATGACCTTTTTAAACTTACGTGACTTTGGTGGCGCTTATTTTGTCTGTAATATCCTTCATTTTGGTATCATTGTCATCAAAGCCATCGATGAGGCAAGGTTCGGTCATTTGTGCATTGTTAACTAAAACAACCTATTTAAAAGTTATTAGCGTCTTACCATGAACATGTTCACCAACTTTCTTTCTCTGTTCTGTCACATATTCTTCAAAGTTTCCTTTATATCTCTGTACTACTTGGTTCAAGTCATCATTGAGAGCCAAGATCTCTGCCATTCTTTCATCATTCTTTTCGGCCGCTTCTGCAGCTAAATGGAAGAGTTTGGGCCGAAGTTGGATCAGACTTTCGAATAGCTCATACATCAAGGTAATGTCGGCAGATCTGGTATCTTGTTCTGCTGCATTCATAAGGTCAGAGAGGAGGCCTGACTTTGTTTTTGAGGTTTCCATTAGTTCGTTGCGCTTCTTTTCGGTTTCGAACTTGTTTTCTTCCTGTAAACGTGATTGATGTGACTATTATGTGTTTGTTTTAGGTATTGTAAACTAGTGAAGTTGTTCATATAATATGTAAAATTTAATATTGGTGTTAATAACTTACTATTAGGAGCTTTGCATAACATAACTTACCGTTCTAACCATAGTTTTGATCATTCGATTGGCTGCCTGTAAGTCATCTGGGTTCTTACTCTTCAGTAATTGTGACAATAACTTCTCCTTTTCTTCGTCTGCCAATGCACAGACTCTCTGTTCTCGAGTGTTTAGTTTAGGTATGTTAACATTATTCAACAAGGGATCACTTTCTATTATTTTTTCTTTCTTCAAAGATTCATAAACTTGACGTAGCTTGTCCAAATGTCGAAATGACTGAGACCAAGCATACAGTAATTCTATGGCTTTCTTCTTCACATTCTCTGCTGTCTGATTACCTTGGTATTTAGATGACAGTAAGCGAATAAACTGGTTAAGAAACTTGTACTTCCCTAATTCATTGGCACAACGAAGGCCTCCTCGGTTTACTACGGCTTCCATTACCTAAAAGGCATTGTTTGATATGATAACAAGTTTCCAAAGTTAATTTTGTAGTAAAGATATTGTAGTAAAAGATTGAGAGTTATGTTGGTTACCTAAAAATAAAATCCGAAGAAACTAATTTACCTCTAACGAATGTAGTGATTCATGTTGATTAGGACTCAACATTTTGTATGATAACAGCTTCATAGCTACAAATGGACCTTCGAAGTCTTCTTCGATTTGTGCACAGATTCTGGAGACATATTCTGAATGTTGGTTGGCATCCGTTGTGAAAGGGTCTGTTGCTTTAGCTATTAGAAACTCAAGGTTGTTGTCTGGAGATGTCATGGTTTTAACTGTAAAAGGCACTTCAATACATAAATATTTGGCATTTTTTTGTAAGAGTTGTGCTGCGCAGATAAGTCAGATACGAAAAGGTGAGTTGAAGCTATCGATATATGACAAAATGTAATCTTAACTACCTTAATCATTTTTAAGTAAAATAATTGGTTATAATACAAATTTTTTACTTATAACATTAGATTACAACACTGAAAACTGAAATACGAAATAGTAGAAACATATTGTTTACATCGATATACGAAAAGTAATGTCAAAAAGTGCGTTGGTTCCAAAAAGAGATTGTGCCCGAGGTCTTTTCGGCCGTCTTTTTTATGGTCGAAAAAGCAGAAACATTAAAGTGTTATGCCTAAAAGCATGCTTTACATATCTGGACTTATCCCAACAATATCAACGGTAACACAGTAATGTAAGACATACTATGAGAATGATATTGTAATTCTATAAAGATTGACACGATGACATTAATTTTAAATTTAAATTCAATAGAATATGCGGAAAGGTGTGAGTATGTAAACAATTATATGTTATGTTTGTTCATTCTGTTTGTACTTGTCGGTGACTACAATTTCAGCTTGGTACTTCGAGTTCAAATTCATGTTTTGGCTTTTCAATTGGTGTGCTTACTTTATAAGCGTCAATTTAGAATAGGGTTGGGTGCTAATTTTGTTATTGTGTGACTGTAAGTGTAAACCACTTGGAATATTAGATAGACAAGGTTAAAAAAGGTTATATTGTTGATTTTAAGTTGTTTTGAGAGAGTATGGCAAAGTATTATGTTCATGATAATCTCCAAACAATATGCAGACGCTTTCGTATCTTGAGAGTTATGTGAAACTCCAAAATATTATACTTGAGATTTGGTATAATATTATTTTCAATGTTTCCTGAAGCTTATGGTCAACTACGTTTATAGCTATAACATGAAGTATTGCTTTTTATAAATTAGTATACTGTCTTAAGATACTGTGATATAGTTACAATGAGAAAGATTCTAAGTATATTATGCTATAAATAGGTGTCATATTGTTTGAAAGCTGTATGATATTAGTAGGAAAAAGTTGATATTTTATTCCATTAAAAGAAACAGTTCAAGAAGTTCGAATTCATTACTTTGTACTGCTTTTAGAGGGGCGGGAATAGTCTTTTGAACGTATTTTATTGTTGGATTTGTGATAAAATTAAACTTCATTATTATAGTTTAGTAGGTCGACAAGGGGTTCAGTATCAAATAGTTAGTACTCCATGTTATTCTTTTTTTTTTCGTTGTAAGGTAACATTAATACAAAAATAATTAGCGGTTTTAAAAGAATACTATAACACAGCCTTAAATTACATTATAATTACTGTCAAATACTCAATATGCAACACAAAAGTATGCTTGCTTTATTAAAATATTCTATTCATGCAGATGTTGTGCTATTCATGACTTTAATGCTCATTCAAACTTTTAGAAATTAATGAGTAGGCCGGCTGTCTTAATTAAACTTTTTTGAAACTATCGATATGGCAATAGTTATGCTATCTCATAGTAAACAGTTCTGTTCTGCTCGGCACAACTTTAATATTTACTTAATTTACTTGTTGTAAGTTTTTTGTCTATAAATATAAGTTTTGTGGGAGGATAAGGTCGGGAAGAGTAATAAGGAGGGTGTGGTAAATTGGTTTTTTCACTGGAAAATGTGGGCGCTTTAGTGAAATGTTGACTAAAGGCTAAGCCTACGAGTTTTTGTTCTTTCCCTAAACATAGCTATCATTGATATTACGTTATGGCCAATTGTGTCAATTTTTAAACAGATCTTGGCAGATTTTGAAATTTCATTGTCATTTTATAATGTTGTACTGTTTGAAAAACTTGAGGAAGTTGAAAAGTTTTATTTAGAACAAACATATCTTACTGCTTTATGACTTTAACGATCACATCAAGTTTGTTTTAGTATTTGCTTCACTTTGTTTTGGCATTGAAGCGCTTTAAACAAGTCGTATCAAGCTTAAGTACAAGCCTTTTTTACTTAAGCTTGTAGGTATAACTTCTAAAGATCATAATAAGCCTAGTCTTCAAAGACTACCTTTTAACTTTATAATTTGCACTTTTAAAAGAATACTTGGAAAGACAACCTACAACCTGGAAGAGTAATTCGATATTGTTTTTCGAATTAACTTATGTTTTGAAAATAAGATTGAAATTGATGGATTCGTTGAGCAGAGACACAAATAATAAAGCCGGCTTCCTCCAAGGTCACGTGGGCCGCTTTCCCGATCACTAACCAGGGTTTACAATACTCGGTTACAGAGTTAGTTCGAAAGTTGGCAGTGGAAATAAAAGGTCAGTTTAAACTGATGGTGGAGTTAATGACAGCCGGTTTTTAATGTTTAAAGGGTATTTTGCAAAAGAGTTTTTAACGGTTTTTGTGTTTTGTCATGTTTAAAGTTTTTAAATGAGCTACAATGTTACGAGTTTAGTCTATTCAGTGCAAGAAAAGACTGAAATTTAAAAAAAAAATTTTAAATTTTTAAAATCAACTAACAAGGGAAGTGTCTCACCTCATTCCGGAGATATGAAACGGGACTAGGCTCATTTGAAAGCCTGCTTGAATACAAATTTAACAAAAAAAATTTAGCTGCCGAATAAGCCCCTGAGGCAAGTTATGACGGTTTAAAAATTTGCAGTGCTTTTCTTGGTTTGAGTTTGAAAACGATTGGGAGCGAGAAAGAAAACAAGGGGAACCGATGATTCGGTAGTTCAGTGGTTAGGTGTTGGGTTTAGGGGCGGAAGGAGAAGGGTTCGATCTCTGCCAATTCGTTTTGCTTTAACAGCTTCCAAAAAAAACTTTTTTTTTGTGTTTTATACTATACAGCAGTCAATAGACTAGTTTTAATCATTTGAATACAAAAATTAAGCAATTTGACAAATTAATAAAATTTAAAATTTTTTGGAAATTTTTCGAATATGTATATTGAGTAGACGCACCAATGGTGATTGGTTTGACATATTCAAGACTGATGACATTTATCACTTCCCTGATTATCAGCTGTCTTACAATGACGCCGAAGCTGTTAAATTTTCTGAAAGTAGGGAAAATAAAGTTACTTTTGCTGTTGGTTCCGTTATTCTAGGTGATAGGTTGCTCAACTTTTTTCCAGAAACTGAAAAATTTCCAAAAAATTTTAAAGTTTAATAATTTGTTAAATTGCTTAATTTTTGTATTGAAATGATTAAAAATAGTCTATTGACTGTTGTATAATATAAAAAACAAAAAAAAAGTTTTTTTGGAAGCTGTTAAAGCAAAACGAATTGGCAGAGATCGAACCCTTCTCCTTCCACCCCTAAACCCAACACCTAACCACTGAACTACCGAATCATCGGTTTCCCTTGTTTTCTTTCTCGCTCCCAATCGTTTTCAAACTCAAACCAAGAAAAGCACTGCAAATTTTTAAACCGTCATAACTTGCCTCAGGGGCTTATTCGGCAGCTAAATTTTTTTTGTTAAATTTGTATTCAAGCAGGCTTTCAAATGAGCCTAGTCCCGTTTCATATCTCCGGAATGAGGTGAGACACTTCCCTTGTAAAATACGATTTAAAAAGTTTGTTTTATAAAAGTACAGCCAAACAGTAACTTCTCACCACCTTCTTGTCTTTCTCTGTTTATTAATCACTTTTAAATCACATGTTCTGCGATGGTAATATTAAGTTAGTATCAAGCAATTTGCTGCCATTCTTGTTCGTTTCCGGCCGTCTGTATATGCTAATTCTGTCAGATTCCACGTTTTATCGGAAAAGGGAATCACAGTGTTATTTCAGACATTCAAATGGCCTCACATTTATTTTATGGCATTTGACACACATCTTTTACACTTTGGCGGCGTTCTGTTGGGTTACAGCCAATGGGTTCGAACGAATGGTTTTTGGGGTTTTAAGATTTTATAATGCTTGAAATTGATTTGAAAATAATTTAAAATGAAAGCGCAGAGATTTTAATGGTAGCTTCACCTAAAATTTAGTTTTTATTCGCACTATTTTCAATTTTTTTGCTAAAAAACTACTATAATATTCTAAAATGAGGTTTTTTGCTAAAATTTTTTGTTGTTTATGTGTATGGACCAGCATCTCAATACCAGTAATTAATTCTGTAGCCAATTTGTCCGATTTGCCCTTTTAAGTAAATTTTTCGAAAATTTATTTGAAAATGGGATTTCTGGTAATTAGTCTGTCGAGATTGAAACAAGGCCTGTTTGGACCATTAGGACCAGCTTTTCTAATTAATGGTCATGTTTTGATCTATCAAAACAAAGGAACAGGTTTTGTTTGTTTGAAACAACATGGTATATGTATAACAGTATATATAATGCATATTTGTCATTAGGTTTGGATATGTCATAATATTTATGTAAACTAAGAGTAATAGCTTATATTATCCTTCTTAATTTAATATTGTTTATTTTGGACGGTTAAACTTTACTTTTGTAATCTACCGTTCCATCTGTACGTTAATCAGCAACCTTATTGTACAGTGATACCTCTTCCTCTCGATTTTCAAATATTTGCACTTTGTGACATCAATCGTAGTATAAATGTCATGTAATCTAATAAACTTTTGCTTTCAAGTTTTGGCCTCAGATTTCGAATTTTAATTTCCTTTGAGAATTTCGGGCAGACACAGTTTATATTACACTAAACTTTATATTATTCATGTTTATGCAAAACAAGGCTGGTTTTCCAGTTTGGAATTGGGTTTTTGGGTCTTTTGGGGTTAGAATGCTAATAAGTGGGCTATTTATGTCTGGTCTACTACAATATCGTGGTGGTTTTAAAACTTTCAAGAAGAGGTGGGGTAGAAACAAGGGGGGGGGGTGGGAAAGCTTAACAATTAAAAAAAAATTTTTAGATTTGCAAGGGCTATAAAGTTTTTTTAAACATTTTTAGAGTGTTTTTATCTTTTAAAAACAGTACGAATATATAAAAAATAAAACTACAGTACTATGTTGCA